GCAACTTCAAGTGTGTCAACTGCAGAAGAAAGTGCCAGACTTTTCCTCCAGTTTCACCCTTTATCAGCCGGTGCCTTGGGCCTCTTTGCTAACCGCTTTGAGCCCTAGAGGCTCAGTTACACAGCAGGTGATAGGATCCTCCAGGACACTGTGGGAATCAGCAGCAAAGAGCAGAGTGCCCAGTGGAGCACAGAGCTCGTCTTTGCTAAACGGTGGCTGAACCAACGATAGGTGCTGATACTGCCGTTGTGATTGTTATCCTGTTCCACCCCCCCCTCCCAGCAGACGGTCCACCCTCAGCCTTTCCCCCTTACTTGTGGTGTTGTAGCGGACTCCGTAGAAAAAGGCAGGGCAGGGCCGAACCACCAGCTGCCCTGCAGGGCTCCGGGGCCAGCAGGTGCCGATGAGGTCCACGGAGGCATTGCACTGCAGTCCTGGGACAGAGATGGCTGGTGAGGCAGAACAAGGTCCCACCCAAGGCCCAGGCAGACAGAGAGCCCCTGAGAGTCCTGCCCACCTCCCTGCTGGCTCACACTCATTACCAGCTAGGGAAGAGCAAAAGCAATGGTCCCGGTGACAACCAAGTTTGTTCTATGCAAAGGAGACACCAGGGGAGGAATCTGAACTCCACGAGAGGCACTAGAGAACCAATGCGCGTCACAGAGCAGAGGAGGAGCAGAGGTGGCTGGAGGAGGCGTTGAAAGCTGTCCATTGGAAGAAGGCTGGACCTGCTTCAGGCCCCCGCTCTGTAGCCCGAGGACATTTCTCTTCTGCATTCCTTTAGCAACAGACTGGCGCTCCAGAAGGAAGGGCCCGGGACAAGCCAAAACAACCTCTGACCCAGGTCCCTCACACGTCTCTGGAACCAAGTTCCATCCAGCCTTACCACCTAGGAAGGAACCAGCTGCCTGTACCACACTTACGGAGCATGCACTGCCCTTACCTGTGCTGGGACTTGGGAAAGGATGGATCAGAAGGGGGCCACGGGGGAAAAGTCACCGGATGGGGGCGTAGAAAGGGCACTGAATGACGGGAGCTTGTGCTGCTGATTTGCTGTGTGACCATACACGAGCCCTCTGCCCTCTCTGGGCCTTGGTGTCTTAATCTATAACAAAGTAAAGTAGTTGGCCTAGATGGGACCTTTTGTGTGTATGTGTGCTGGGCCTTACGGGCTAGGCCAGCACTCTACCGCTGAGCGACACTTCCAGCCCATGATCAGGAATTCTCAGTCCATAGGAAGCTTCATAGTGACCTGGAATCCGGTTAAAAATGTGTGTGCGTGTGTTTCCAAGGGTGAAAGGGTCCCCTGGTTTTTTTTTAGATTCCAAAAAGGATTTGTGGTCTAAAGAGATGTAAACAGCTGAACTAGAAAGAGGATGTCAATGGTCCTTTCAAGTGTTAATATTTTCCCTTATATAAAGAGGTTTATGGAGGGAGAGGAAAGGAAAGCGAGGAGGGAGAGAGAGAGAGAGAGAGACAGAAAGAGAGAGAGAGAGATCTACTGACATCAGAGGAAGGCAGGGGGAAAATGGGCTCCAAGCGTAGGGGCCGAGCACCCCCACACCCAATGCTGGAACCCCCTCCTGATGCTGCCCCTGCTGCCCCTGCTTCCTCTGCCTTCTGATGCTCCTTTTGGCATGAGGCTGGCACACCAGTCCTGCGAGGCCCAGGGTCCTGTCCTGGCAGGAGTCAGTAACCTGGAATGTGCAGAAGCCGGGCAGAGCCAGGCCCAGTGGGGTGGGGCGGCCTCCTCGGGGCTGGGCGTCAGCAGCTGGCATCTCCCCCCTTAGCCAGTTCCCAGACTCTCAGCAAAGAACGGTGTGTTAAACCGGTTTCCTCTCCCTGCTGGACTCAGGGCAGGGCCGAACCACACGGGTTCCGAATGCTGGCTTTTCCTTCAGGGCTCAAAGGGCAGACACTAAGACCTTAAGGCTTGGGGCTGGGAAGTTAGCTCAGCGGCAAAGCGGCTGCCTGGCAAGTGCAAGGTCGTGAGTTTGATTCTTGATACCGAAAGAAAAACAAAAAACAAAACAAAAAACCCCACAAAAAAACAAACAAACAAAAAGACCTTAAGGCTTCATCGAAGGAGAGAGAAATCTGGGCTGGAGAGAGCAGGTGTGGGGCACAGGGAGCTCCGTGGCAGCCTTACGGAGAGGTGCAGAAAGCAGAGGAGTGAAGCGGGCAGCCCAGGTGTGGTACGGGGTGCCAGGTTGGGACCTGACTGCGTCATGGGTCATGCTGACAGTGCTGAGCTCAGAGGAGGGGGAGCCGGGGCACACGACTCTGTATGTGTGTGTGTGTGTGTGTGTGTTAATAACATGACTGTCCTCTGCTTTTTCAAAGCTCTTCCTCACCTATTTGACTGGATCCCCATTCCCCCTGAAATGTCAATATTCCCTTTTACAGACTAGCAGATTGAGGCCCAGGGATGCTAAGTGACTAGCCCGAGGTGGCAAGTCAAAGTGTCAAAGATGTTTCTGGCTCCAGATCAAGGGCTCTTTCTATCCTCCCACATCGTGTGGCAATAAAGGGTGGGGCAAGTGAAGGAGGCAGCCGTGTTTACTGAGGGCTGCTGTGTGCCAGGCTCCCGCCAGGTGCCTTCCATGGTCCAGCTCATTTAATGATGCCGCCTTGCTCCGCAGCTGCCTCCCTCACGATACCTGCTGAGCTAGGCACTGGGCAGATAGATGGGATGTCGTGTGTGCCAGAGCCGGGGCCTCGCCTAACACGCTGGCTCAGTTAGAACAGCATCTGCGCTCCTTCCTTTCCTGGACAGTTCCCAGGTCCCCTTCTGCAAAGAACAGGGGCAGGGAAGGGCAGCAGGTACCAGTCCAGAGAACCAAGGCAGGTACTAGGAACAGATGCTGGGCCTGGCCGAACCTAACGCTCTCAGGACCTTAACCAGAGCCCTGACCCCACCCACAGCTGTCCTGGGCAGTGGGGGTCCATGAGGCAGCGAGTGGGACAGGGCGATCGGAGCTCCTAGTTTGTGATGGATTCAGCCGTGACTGCCGTAGATCTCACACCACTTGCCAATGTGGGTGCTAATTCTCCCTATTTGACAGGTAAGAACAGGCCTGGGCAGACAGACGGCTTTATTAGACTTTGGATACTTGGGATCCACAGGCAGAAGTGTATTTGAACCCTGGTCTTTCCACGCCCACCCACGCTCTTCCCACCGCCACACGGCCGGCTCCACCCGGGGCAGCTGCCCGGGACAGCTTCCGGCTCGCTCATCCGCGCCCCTGGAGCGCCTCTCCCCTGGAGCTCACAGAGGCTGCGCAGAGGAGGCAGAGCCAGTGTGACCTTTATATTTAGAGCCCAGCACAATCCTGGAGGGAATGCAAGTCTGTGAAAGACCGAACAAGAGGGAGGAGAGACTGCAAACGTGGCGAAGAACTGCCCAGTGAAAGGCGGCAGAGACTCACGTGCCTGCGCAGCAAGACCAGCGCTCCCCCTGGCGGCGGGGCTGGGTGGGCGGGGTCTGCGTCCGGCTGGAGCCCGATGGGGCGTGGCCAGAGGCTAGAGGGCCAATCAGGAGCGGCAGCTGGCAGCCGCAGCATCCCCAAAGGCGGGCCGAGGGAGGCGGCCGGCGATCAGCCTTGCGGCTTTAGGCAGCAAGCGGGCCAGGAGGGAGAGGCAGCGAGAAGAGGGGAGTCAGACGACAGGAAGGGGGACCCGGAAGTGGGGGCAGTGACAGGCGCTGCCCACGTGCACTTCGGCTCAGCTCGACCGATGGTAGGACGCGGGAGCAGCCCGATCGGAACGCCGGGGCACACCAGGCCCCGCCAGAGTCCTTCTGCATTGAGAAATCCATACGTTCATTCAACTCACACGGCTGTTTGGGGGGCAGAGGGAGGCGGAGGGGGAGCCAGGAGCGCAAGGAGAGTGGGGAGAGAAGACGGGGCGAGGCCACGTGAAGGCGGCACCGGGAAAGACGGCCTCAGACCACAGCGGGGTGCGGATCTTCCGGAGGAGAAAGGGAGGCGGCCGCGAGGAAGTCGCTGTCACAGCCTGGTCCTAAGGACCTGCAGGTCAGGACCACGTAGGTCGCCTCCTTGGGCCAACACCCCCTCCAGGCCCCAGCGCTGCAAGCTCCCAGCCCCTTCGGCGCCCCTGAAGGTGGTATTCTCCCGTGTGGATATCACAGCCCTGGGGCAGAGCAAGCAGCCGGCAGCACCAGGGCGGGCAGTGTTCGGAGCCAACCCCCGCCACAGCGCCTGGCCCCGCAGCGCCCCTCCTGGTCAGTTAGGGTATGGAAGGGGAGGCGTTTCCGCCTTTCAGCTACCCTTTACTCTGCAGGTACTTACCACCTAAGAAACGTCAGGGACTGGAGATGCAGTGACGCACAAAATAAATGCCCTGCCCTCTTGGCTCCCATTCTAGAGGAGGCAGTAGGAAAACACACAGGTGGACAGATAGGATAACTAGTGAGAAATGCTATGGCGAAAAACAGCAATGCAAGGAGATGAAGGTCCGATCAAATGGAATGCTATTTTAATTTGGTATTTCTCTAAAGCACTAACACTTCACTAGAGACCCGGCATGGACAGGGTGGCAGAGGGCAGGCAAAAAGCTCTGGCCTTTGCCTGGCACCTTGTGGCTGGGCAGAGAAGAAAGGTGCTTTGGAGGGGGTGAGGTTCATCCGGACAAGTGGAGTCCATAGACCCCTTGTCCTGTGGTTAGTGCATTCTTCATTTTTGCATTCCCAGCTCCGAGTGCAATGCCAAGCACATAGCTGATGCCGAGGGAAATGTGGGGCCATGTATAAACCCACTGTGGGCATGGGAAACTACAGGGGGGCACAGTGCTCCCAGATGACCCGGCAGCTCCAGCGATATCGTGGTAATCACGTAAAGTGATCCTGATGGTGAGTCCAAAGTCAGGCTCAAATCCCGGGGCCGGTGCCCCAAGTAACTGTGTGCGCTTTGAGTCACGGAACCTTCCGGAGCCTCAGGTTCCTATTGTGTAGAATGAGGATAAACATTCTTCCTGACTATCTTGCTGTGATGACAGAATGGGATCCAGCACTTAGCATGGTGTCTAATAGAGTGGGCAGTAAGTAGATATTAAGTAGGATAATCGTTCACTACCTTCAGAGCAGGTATGGGAACCAGTGGCTCTAGGTCTTTGTTCACTCTGAGTGCTCTTGTCTGTGAATGATGTTATTAGTCAATAATGTTATTAGTTGCTGGCATTGTCGTACTTGTGCCATGATTTTATGAATCAAAACGTCTGTGATCTGCCACATGAGGGGGCCTCGACCCTCGGGACCCAGCCTCTCTCTCCTCCTGGCATGAGGCACATGAGGAGCACCCCAAAGGTCCCGGCTCGGTGCCAGCTGCCCTGGCCAGACGCCCATCCATCTGTCCCAGCCCAGCAGCCCCACCCTCACCATCTGTCCCTGCCATTGCCCATAGGTCTGAGTAGGTCTCAGAAGACAAATGGCCCAGTATTAGAGGCTGTTGTGGCGGGTGACGGATTGCATGCCATGAAGCCAGGTGGGCTGGGCTCTGGGTGGGAGCGCCCAGGACAAGTCACCGGGGAACGAACGCCGTTCACCAGGGCCTGCTGCCCCCAAGGGCAGTGATACCTGTGTGAACACGGGGATGTCACTTCTCTTGAACACAACGAGCAAGTTCATGGAGCCTGATCTGCCCGGGCATGGTCATCTGGGCGGGGGGTGCTTCCCTCTGGCCTCCTCCCACCTCATCTCTCCCTTCCCGAACCCCAGTCTGGCTGAGAATGGACTTCCCTCTCTCCACAGCCCAGCTTAGCCAGCTTTGCAGCTGATGCTGCTGGCACCCCACACCTCCCCTGGCTTACTGCCCCCCCTCTGTCCTTCCACCAAACACACCCACGGATCCTTGGTTGATCCTTCCTTTTGTCTGTTTATTTTTGTCCTACTGGGGACTGAACCCCTTGGCACTGAGCTATATCCCCAGTGCACCCCTCCTTTTTTTTTTTGGTTTTTTTCTGGTACCGGGAATTGAACTCATGACCTTGTACTTCCCAGTGCACCCCTGTTTTACATTTTGAGTCAGGGTCCCACTAGGTTGCTAAGTTGCCCAGTGTAGGCTCAAACTGGGGATCGTCCTGCCTCAGCCCTTCAAAGGGCTGGGGCCAACCTTGCTTTGGGTCAGAGTACTGGATCTTCTCTGCCAGGCCTCAATCTCCTTTAAGGATCATCCTGGAACCTCCTCCTTCAGAAAGGCTTCTTAGACTTGCAGTACTCCTATTCTGCCTCCCTTCCCCCTCCACTGTTATGAGCAGTTCGTGGCTGGTACCCTCCTTTCTTTCCAGCTAAAAAGAAAGCATTTGAAAAGCTTGCCCATGTTGCCCACCATGATCATACCCAGCTCTAGCTGGCACTCTGCAGTTTGTGAAAGAGCCATGAAATTCAGTGCATTTCATGCATGACAGACCCTTGAGGCAAGCAGTGCCTCCCTCCTTTACAGCTCAAAGGGCTTAAAGGGCATGCTCACCCCTGCAGCTACCAGTTCCCTGTGCCCTCCTAGCCAGACACCACTGAGCACCCCCCGTGAGCCAGCACGGGAAGTCAGCCTGCCTTGTCCAAGCCTGGCACTCACTCCTCTCCTAGGCCTCCTGGTAAAGGAACCCCAGGCCAGGTAGCAGCAGCTCCAGTTGCAGAAGCCTCCCTTCCCTGCAGGCTCAGCTTTCAAAATTAATGGCTTGTGTCTCTCTGCTAACACATTTGAGTCCGTTTCTTTGCTAGCATGTGCCTCATGCTCTGCCTTCCAGTACATTCATCTGGGGACTTGGGTCACGCTGTGAACCCCTTTGTTCCCCTGATGCCTTGTGCCAGGCCTGGTACACAGTAGGTGCTCAGTTAATAAGCAAAGGAGACCACTGAAGAGAACAAATCTCCTCAGGACACCAACCCTCCCAAGGCCCCCAGGGGCATGGGGACCCTCTGCATTTTGCCAGGCAGCAGCTATGCCCAGGCCCAAAGTTAGGAAAAGCACGGCCTGGGGAGTCCAGAGACCTAGTCTGGGTCCCTGCCCCTGCTCCTTACCATCCATGTGGTCCTGGGAGTGTTAGTAACTCTCCCATGCCTCAGTTTCCCATCTGGGCGAATGTTACTTTTAATCTTATGCAGATAAAATAATCACACAGCACTTGGCCCAAGGGAAAGTTGCAGGTCTGAGTAACGGTCATCCTCACACAGCATCTCTGTTGGAGAGCTGCTGAACATGGTGTTTCAGAGGGTGGGCAGCCTGTGCTCAACTTTCGAGGTCCTTTCTGTGCCTCAGTTTCCTTTATGTCGGGTGATGATTCACGGTTCCCACCTCGGAAAGTCACTGTGCACATTCGGTTCCCACAGCCCAAGTCCTTGCCTGGCGCCTGGTCAGCACCACATAGCGTTCAGCTCCGCACACTCTTAGCAGCAGCAAAAGGCAGCCTTTCCCCCTTGCCTGATGTCCCCGTCCACAGCTCGGCGTCAGGGGCCAGCATCCCCTCCCCGGTGGCCCACCTTAAGCAGGGACAAGGACTTGTGAGCACATCTGACACGTGTGCCCCCGCGCCCACGGCAGAGGCTGCTGGCTGGTCATAGTTCTCCTCCCACTAAACTCACTCCTGACCTCAGACTCCTTCTCAGCGCAGGATTCTGTGGCAAAACCAGAAATGTCTTGGAGCCCTGGAGAGGAGTTTTCTCTGCTATCTTCGCCACAGGGCATGGTTCTACTTGCAGACCCTGAGAGACGGGGGGAGGGGACCCTTTGGCGACCTGGTATCTTTCAGAAGCGGGTGGGGGACTCACCAGAGATGTTGCCGGCCAGGGAAAGGTTCTCGCACTGCTGATTCTGGATGGAGGCGGAGACGGGGTTCAGCCCCAGGAGGAGAAGGGCCTGTGGACACAGGGAGGTGAGGGACAGGGTTAGGCTGGGCTCGGAGCAGGCTGGCCTGCTACTTCGTGCCTCGGCTCCCTTCTCCGTTCTGCGTTCAAACTCTTGAAAGTCTCCTTGTCCTCCTCTTACCGTGTCCTCTGAGCCTGGAGTTTCTGGAGCTGCCCTGTTCACCAGAGCCTGGAAAGGCTGGTAAGGGAAGCAGCTCCAGCAACTAGGACAGAGGACTTCTGTTCCTGGTGGTGAGGGTCCTCCGGGGAGGCTCTGCTGGAGGAAGCTGTCTCCATCACATGAATTCCAAGCATGAGCTCTCCCTCCCTCTCCCTCTCCCTCTCCCTCTCCCTCTCCC